CGTAAATACATAAATAACAAACAATTCACTTTGAACAATAAAACAATTTCTTAAAAACAAAAGAACAAGGACTTAAATTGCTTGGCACAAAACATCTTTGGCTACGGACGGCACTAAATCTATATAACTTTATTATTAAACATTCATTTAAGCTACCTAATAGTTTGGAAATCTAGAAATGAGCAAAACTTAACTTAATAAAACGTAAGGCGACAAGTTGATATTACACTCTCCCTTTCTCTCTTATGGGGCTAAGAATTTGAAAGATAGAGACGACAGGAAAAACCATAGTTTAAGTTTCATAAGACTCCGTTAATCTTCTAAAAATTTTATCTTCGATTCATGAATTTAATAGTGAAACTAATGAGTTACATTTGTCGAGTGGTATGTTTTTTTTAATTTTTTTTTATTGCCCTTGTAGGCAGACGAACATACGGCCTACCTGATGGTGAGTGGTTACCGTCGCCCATGGACTTCAGCAATGCCAGGGGCAGAGCCAAGCCGCTGCCCACCGTTTCAAATTCGGTGTTTCAAACCTCGGTGGTACGTTTCCAATTCCACTAAATTAATTGAGATTCCTCCAGATCCCTCCTAATTCTCATTTCTTAATGGCTACGAACAAATAACAACGTAATACTAACGTGTGTATGAAAGCTCTTGTAGTGAATTTTAATTTAGGATTATACGTGAAATTAAAATATCAATTCACAGAGGGCGCTACCTTACAATTATTTACTAATGACAAAATTTTACATATATTTAAGACGTTTAGGATAATTGTATTTTAATTTTGGAAGGTTTCACTTCTACCACGTGTGAATTGCACACATGTAATTTTTTTAACGTTCTCGATAGCGTAAAAGTTAACTCATATTTGTATGGACTGGGATCGTCTGCCTACGTTTGCCGCTAGGGGCGCTGTTGCAACTGCATACAAAATTGGGTTAACTTTTACGCTATCAAGAACCTTAAAAAACTCGCACTAAGCACACAGATCGATTAAAGATAGGAAATTAGACCATAAAAGTCTGAATATGCCAGAAAATACAGCTTAATTAGGCCACAGCAGAGGAATATCTGTTATTCCCCTATGCCGTAGCATTCATTCGTAGCGACCTATAACCCATATCTGCTTCTCCGCTATCAGTATCAGCTCAACCTAAAAATCATTCGGGGTAATTTTTATAGAAAGGCTTACAGACGCAATCGAGTAAAACATTGGCGTAATTTCAATATACTTGATATTTTGTATATCTTGAATCCTTTGATATATCTTCAAGAATGCATACGTCTTGTGCACAGTCTAAAGGTCAGTAATTCGTAATTGACCAATGAGTTTGAGTTAGATAGTAATTTATTACGAGAAATAGCAATAACGAGACAAAATAACAATCATCGATGACATCATTTGGGGCCCAAAATAAACGACCAGATAGCTGCTAGCCTAGCACTAATGATGGTGATTATTCATACCATACCGAATTCGGTAAAGGCCATCAACTTATTGATCATTACTGATGGATATATTTTAATGGAACTTCACAAAGAAACAAAAAACACAATGAATAACCACGTATGGAATACAGTATACAGGACCACGTACATACAGGTTGATTGTTGTCCAAAAAAGTTCGTATTATTTATAAATTTTATTTAATGATAAAAAATAACATCAATGACAATGCGTGATTGCATGAACGCTTTCATTGAATTAACACCCTTAATAATTACTTCTTAGATTGTTTTTTGATTGGTGTCGTATTGTGGGATCGCGAATACCATCGAATACCTAAGCCCTAAAATCGTATCGCAGCATCCAACAAAAATTGACTATGTTAAATTGACCGCTGAACAATAATTCACACACAAGGCTTATAATCACCTTTAAATTATTATTTTTATACATGTTAGAGCTAAGATGGACTGTCAAAGCCGTTTCAAAGCGTCATTGAAAAGCAGGCATTTCGAAAACCACAAAAAACACCAGACGAACACCATAAAATTGTGGATACAAAAACTTCGGAGGTACTACGTGAATATAGAGATAAGAAAGATATTGAGTTCAAGATTTAGAGGAAAGTCGCCATAGGGCAAACGTGAAAATAACATGACCAATGTACACAGACGACTGTATCGAATTCTCAGGAACCAGTCACCGTCGAAGCCCTAGACACGTCCTTACGGATACATCAGATCCAATAACCCTTGCACGTGACAGCTTTAGCTCTAACACTAGGAGTAGGGACCCCGGTAACCGTACTCGTCCAACTCGGCAAAGAATTCGACGTGCAACCTAACCTAAACATTAGCTCGCTGAGTTTCTCGCCGGATCTTCTCAACGGGTCGCAATTCCGACCACCAAATGACCGTGAGGCTTAGCCGTAAAAATGCTTAATCGGGTATACGAGTCAGGGTTGGCTTGATCCATATTATATTTACAAACAGTGTGAGGATAAAAGCGAAGGGAAGATCTTCCACCAAGCGAATCAAATTGCTCGGTATACCGACGGTCCGAATGTTGTTGTTCACAACTTGTACATATATAAAAGCTTATCTTGAAAATGTCATAGGCGATATTTAGGCATCTGTCAAATATCTTATACAACAGCCACTACGACGTAAATCCGTCACCAGCTTATACCATATAACTATAACACTGAACTAGTGTTCTGAGGCAGCGCTTACCACCACTTAACAACAGATGTAATCTCGTTTACCCATCCAAGCTATAAAAAAACAGGCTTCATCAAGTCGAAACCCCAATTGAACTGTGCGACGTCGACATTGGGCAGGAATAAGCAGGCAGGTGGTAGTCAGTATCTTAACCTGCCAGCCCAAAATACAAGATATTGTAAGCCCACCTAGGCAGGTATTACCAGTGTTTCTGCGTACAAATAAATTTGCATTTTTTATTTTTAGTACACGATGTTATTCTTTCATCGTAGAGGTCATAAGTTCAGATGAATATGGGAAAAATAAAACCTGTCTGCGGGATTCGAACATCGGCACAGTCGCGTCGGTCGATACGACCACACCGACCGTCTTATCTTTTAGGCCACGATAACTTCTTTCGACTTATTATTTGTTCATGACATTGATTTATCAGTTTTACATTAGCTTCATAATTTAATCTCAGCTTACCGAAATCATCAGGATTTCTAAAAATCATCGGATGCCTGACAAACAACACACTACGTCGGTTTATCTACAAACATAACTCTTTTTGCTGAACAAAATAAATTTGTGACATAAGTCTACATTTTCTAAGAAATCATCAATCGTCCAAAACATATTTCTCAATAACTTCTCGAAAAATGATACATATAGAGTTTTTTTTTAAAGTATCTTTGTTAACATACACTTCAAAAATACGAAATTAATACGTATTTCAATGTTTTTGAACTGCAAATTAAACGCGAGTGAGCCCGCAGAGCACAACTAGTATCTAATATTTTACAAATGTCAAAACTATTATTCTATCCTATATTTAACAGACAGAAATTTACACGAAGCGTTAAGATCTTAAATCTACTATTTTTCATTTCAAATAAGCACACGTTAAAAAACTTTCACAATTTAAGTAAATGTACTAGAAACATAAATATTGGTGAATCCAGTGTGAGTGAAGATTCGATACTCTTATACGCATTGCACGCCACGAAATCTTTTGCAGTTAGGGACTCTGCTTCATTGATAATTCTTCCAGAGAATCAATTATAATATACTAGCTGACCCGGCAGACTTCGTAGTGCCTCAATCGATAAATAAAAGACCTAAGCTTTTGTATAAAATAAACTTAAAACAAACAAAAGGAATCCGTCCGACGGGGGACACATCAAAGGTAAAACAAAATTGTTGTTTCTATTTAATTCCGAGCATTTTCATATTTATCTACCTTTTAAACCTTCTCTGGACTTCCACAAATAAATTCAAGACCAAAGTTAGCCAATAGATATATTTAATTGCACATCTTAACTTTATTTGAAAATTAATGTAGATAGGTACAAATATGTTTTAAAAAAAATGGTGCGCGTGCAACCTGGTGCACGTGAAAGAAGTGAAACTTCTTTTGCGGTGTGTAGTATTGTGGCTTTCTTTATTTTTCATCCTAAAATCAGATTTCTCCTGAATAGGGAATGCTGTGTATAAGAGAAACGACCCAGCTCGCTTTGTCCTCTCCCTCTCTCCACGGTCGAGTGGTTCGCGAGACCCTCTGTCTATTTTCTCACTCTTGCTCTTCCTAAATTGTATATTTTCTCTCTGGCCGTAACGAATCTGTCTCGAGTTAAACTTTACTCTCAACGCGCATAAAGAAATTTCACTTCAAAAATTGACATTCATCTTCATGATTGCACTTCACCAATTAAACTTAAAAGCGCCATAAATAAACATAAAAAAAATGAATCTACCAATCAGTGAACATAATATACCGTCGAAGATAGAGCCTTTTAAGTTTTTAAGGTCCGTTAAAAATACACTTATCATCGTATGAGGTTTGAAAATGAATTAAAGCCCACATATACTTTGGTAAGCTGCAAGGGACAACTGTTTACTTTAAAACGTTATGTATGGAGACCTTGAGTAACTTTTGTGGTGCATGAAGAAAAAGCTTTTAAATTTGTAAAAAGCAAGTTAATTTTTCAATTGAAACTAAAACACCCTGCTCTCAGCTGTACCTTGTATGGGATGAAACAAATGACCAATGTTTTCGAAGTGCCATGTAGAGTTCTTTAACTGTGTATAAATGAGGTCTCCCATGCAGCGGACCGAGATAATCAAGTCTGCAGTTGAAAATCCCTGCAGACAGTAGCTTCAAGCAAGAAGACACGGCGGGGGATCTTGAGGCGCATGAAACCTGCCTGCCCTAATGCCATATGACAATCGCTTCCACTGTGCCAAGATTGTAACGAAGAGGGAATAGTAGATATAAACAGAAGAAAACTTATACGTTTTTTTCCTTAACCGGTTACTTTGAATTTTAAACAATGCCTTTTAGCTGATGAGAACCCGTTAAAAACAAAAGGACTCTAAGGTTAACAAGAAAATATCGACAAGCCCGGAATAAAGCAGCCAATCTGATATATAAATCGACCGGTGTTACAAAGGATGGTTCAATTGAATGCCTTGCGACCACCACTTAGCCGTACTTCACTCACACCGTTTCACACACTTTACAAAAAACTTTTCGAAAACTTATTAATATATACAAACAACCATCCAAAATTAGCTCGTGCCATCTGACTTGCTTGACTCACTTTCCTCCGTGATTGTTATCATGGGAGGCGTGCCATATATCTCAGATGAAGCTTCACTGGAGAGCCTGGGTAAAATTGTCTTTGCAGCATCACAAACCGATTCATAGATCTCCGTCTTGATGATCGGTAGTGAAGGCCTTTTGCCATGGAACACATCACCGACATCTTCTCTGATTATTACGGTAGCTTCCTTCTCATTCTCGTCTTCTATCCGAACAGGTAGACTATCAGCTCGATTGAGGTTCTTCTTGGGACTATCTTTTTCAGTGATGGCTACAGCAACTCCATTCTCCAGTTTCTTTTGGTCGTGTAAATGCTGAAGACTGTATTCTCTGGCTTGAACATCAGAAAGTAAGGGACCGTCGGAAGAACCTTCGATACAATAACCTGGCACCTCGCTACCTATAATAGAATCTTGCTTAAAGATAGCTGCTGTGACCACTGGCTTGTCTGGGTCAGTTGGGGTTTTACTAATCAATGGCTCTGTGGAATTGTCGCACACAATACCTTCAGGGACGTCGTCTTTAGAAACATCGTAGCCAGCGTAGACTGGATAGCCGAATGGTCCTTGTTCGTAGCCCATCTGGCTTCCATAAGAGTAACTAACGTTGTGGGATCCAATAGAGGACATGCTAAGATCTGAAATTGAGAGACCAGTGCTCGATAAAGCCAATGCTTTGTCCCTTTCGCACTTCTCGCTGCTACGCTCACTGTCATCTTCTGCCCTTTTGTCCAACTCTTCAGGTACTCTGTGAATAAGAGCCTGGTTCGTCGAGATCTGAGGGTCTTGAGGTGGTGAGTTTTGGAGTGCAACGTTGTTCGGCCTGTATGCTGATGATTGTTGAACTTCCACCACGAAAATGCCATCGTTGTCCGGGGAATATTTCATTTTGGTTTCACGTCCGTTCTTTGTGATATCCTGAAAAAGAAAAGAAATACATTATGCAATTAATAAAGCAACAAGAAACCATTAAGATGAACTATGAATCATTTTAATACCAGCGAAGACTGACTGGTGAAGACTCTTTCAAACCTCATTTGTACATGTAGTAGCGCCCGTGGAAGGGGTGGTAAGGGGCAGCCATTGTAACTATACTTGAGACCTTAGAACTTATATCTCAAGGTTGGTAGCGAAGTTACACCAGGTGGGCTGTGAGCTCTTCCACCCATCTAAGCTATAGCACATACTGTGCCCTTGTTCACAAACAACTACGACCTCATGACTCGAGGTGGCACAAACAGTAGAGACAAAACCTTCGACCACAAATAATTACAGGAGGAGAGGGAAAGAGGAGACTAAAATCAACACATACATTTCTCTCTTCTGTTTCGACTATTAGATGATTGTTCTTCAAAGTCATTGTGAAGATTGATCCATTGCCAGGCGGTGACTCTCGGTTCTCCACTCTATGAACGCCTGTTTCATCTTCAGTCGAAGATTTTACCTGGAAAAGGTTTTAAATTATGAGTCCATTTTACTTTAATCGTATTTATATCGGAAATTTGGAATTCATTTAGCCTAATTCATTTAGCCTAAATTTGTTGCTTACAACGCCAATCGTTAACAATACCAATTGGAACTTTTTTAACGCAAATGTGAACTATATATAATTCACCTGTTCATCAATTTGCATCGACATTAAGTAGAATACAATCCGAACAAACCCGTTGTTCCACTTGAGACGTGAAAATGTACACAATTTAGCATTGAACTGTATTTTCCAGAATTTTGATATTTTCTTTGTCTTCAAGTGTGAATTTCAGAGATTATTTTATATTAGGCGGCAGCACGGATATACTTCAATGCTTGATGCCCTATTTAAGACATAAATATAGTATTTTCCTACTACACTATTAAATATATGATTAATCTTATACCTTTAAACGAGAAATTATATATATATAGGTATATATAATCTGAATCTCGGAAACGGCTCCAACGATTTTCATAAAATTTAGTATACAGGGATTTCGGGGGCAATAAATCGATCTAGCTACGATTTATTTTCAGAAAATGATTTTTTATTCGTGTTTTCAATAATCAACTCTTCCCGACATCTATTGGCGAATAATAATACTATTTTTCTTAATTGAAGGCAACTAACCGTTTTAAAGACACAACAAGATGGCGTTATCAAAAAAAAAAACCGGTCATCATCTAGTTATTATTATACGGGTTATCTATATATTACTCGTAATACGTGAAGCAAATACTTTGTACCCCTTTCTACGAAAATTGACACCTATAGAGAATATTGAGAAAGAGTACAGAATGCTAATATAGTTTTTAAAGTATGCATAAAAAATACATTATATCAATAAAATAAAACATTACACACACTACCATGTATTTGACACACATACGCATGCATACTATTTGTTCATTGTCAAACTTTTCTAATTCCTTATAGTCTGTGGTCAAATTGAGAACAGGTTGTTTGTATTTATTAATATTTGTCAAAAGTGTAGTCTTGGCGAAATCTGTGATTATAGAAGTATAATAAGTCTTTGACAATAGAATCATAATATTGTACAAACTTATAATTTCAATTAATTATAGTCGAATTTCGACTGCCGGGGGACCACTAGTTCAAATTAAGACGTCAGGGAGCTCACGTAAGATAAACAGCAACCATACATCTGCCGATTCCAGTGTTCCAAAATTCCGATATTTTACATAAAAAAAAATTACGAGCACAGATTAATCTTTGTGACGCTTAAAAAAAAAACAACAACAGCAAAAAGGTTTCACGTCACTTTTTACAAGCTATTAAACAATACTTTTATAATCGTCGTAAACGTTTAAGTTACTGTTATATTGCTGATCGTTAAAAACAAAAAGTCGCATTAAGATATTAAACGAAACTTAAATTACTCGCGTGATTTAACAGAATCATGAAGCTCTCACGAATCTCATGATGGTCCGGGGTTAGTGCCACCTAACTCAAAAAAGAATGAATATGAGACTACTATACTATCGAGTATACTCGAATATATCTATATATATAAAAATGAATTGCTGTTCGTTAGTCTCGCTAAAACTCGAGAACGGCTGGACCGATTTGGCTAATTTTGGTCTTGAATTATTCGTGGAAGTCCAGAGAAGGTTTAAAAGGTGAAAAAATTTAAAAAAGCTCGGAATAATATAAAAACAAACAATTTTGTTTTTCCTTTGATGTGTCCCCTTGATGAGTCTTTTATTTATCGATTGGGGCACTACGAAGTCTGCCGGATCAGCTAGTCTATACATATAAATAAAATTGGAGTGTCTGTTTGTAATATTGAAATAGCCTCTTTTTACTACATGCATATGAATATATATACACCAAAGGTACATACACCAAAATAACATTTTTTACAATTTTTGTCTGTCTGTCTGTCTGTTTGTTCGGACTAATCTCCGGAATGGCTGGACCGATTTTGACGGGACTTTCACTGATGGGTAGCTAATGATATCAGGAGTAACTTAGGCTACTTTTTTCAGACTAGCTTTGCTCCGCGGCTTTACCCGCGGTACGACAATAACCGCGTGTAACATCGCAGGACTAGGCTATTCAATAATAAAATTTAATGCTTCCGAAGCGAAGCGAGGGCGGGTCGCTAGTATTATATATAATGACTGGTTTAAGGTAGAGTAACAGAGATAAACGTTCACGATTGACTTCCACGGTGAAGGAATAACATCGTGTAATAAAAATCAAACCGGACCAATTATAATTTGCGTAATTACTGATGGTAGGACCTTATGTGAGTCCACCGGGTAGGTATCACCATCCTGCCTATTTCTGCTGTGAAGCAGTAATGCGTTTCGGTTCGAAGGGTGGGGCAGCCGTTGTAACTATACTGAGACCGTAGAACTTATATCTCAAGATGGGTGGCGGCATTTACGTTTTAAATCTCTATGGGCTCCGGTAACCACTTAACGCCTAAGCAATAAAATAAAAAATACACAATTTAAATGAAAATTTCCTAACAAAAATAGATTTCAATACGGGCATAGTCATATCACTCGCTATATAGACGTCTTATCATTTAAGCTACGATGAAATTAATAATAAACATCTGTATCATGAATCTAGACTGTATATTGAAGTAAGGATGCGAGCACCGAATTCGCTGGGACCATTTTATATTGGATCTTAAGCCTAAATCTTGCACATTGGAGCAACGACTTGACCTCAATGACGAAACAAAGAAATAACATTCGTTCTATTTACACGAAAGCATTTTTGGACGCTAATGACTTGTGCACTGACGAATCGTTCACCTCCGCTCGACTGACGGTACAATTTACAAGCGGTAGCGTGTCAATAAATTTATGACATTATTAAAATTAAATAGGAGTTCTTGATGGACGTTGTAGTGATCTTAGTTTCCTGATATACTACTATAGATTCTTGGATGGTCATATGAGAATGTTGCCCGTACCTATAGCTGTTTAGGGAGACGCAAAATACTATGTGAATACAACTTCAGACTCGTATCTGTTATCGCTTATTGTACTGAAAGCATTTTTAGGCCAATTGCGTAGCTTAGATCTTTTGCGGTTTTTTTTGTTGCTCGCCGCCACCTATCTTGAGATAATAGTTCTAAGGTTTCAGTTTTTACAGTAAAACGGCTGTCCTACCCTTCAAACCGAAACGCGTTACAGCTTCACAGCAGAAATAGGCAGGGCGGTGGTACCTACCCGGGCGGACTCACAAGACGTCCTACCAGTAAATCATACTACAATATTCATTTAAGTAAGCATACAATTTTGTCCAAATATAATGCTACTTGTGCAAACTCATGACATCCATACCACTATAAAATTCATCTGAATTGATCACTGAACATAGAAAAGTTGGAGCCTTGTATAAGATCGAAATCCCAGTTGGTACATGCCATCACCAAGTATCCATTAGACCAATAACACTCCTGTCTAGTTAGGATCATGACTTTACCTGGTGTACCGTGAGCTCTTGGCCGATAAAAAAAGCACTGCTAAATGATATTCGAAGTTTTTGTTAACTGTGTATTTTTCCTTTAAATGATTACAAAAATTCTTTAGTATTATTTTTGTTTTGGTATCGAGGTCAAAATAATCTAAGGTCCTTTATTTAGAAACGTTGAATCGACAAATGGACGTATGTGGGAGACTCACATGTATTTATTTATTTTATAATATTTTATTATAATTACACTATACAACAACACATACATACTTTATTTTATATCAGCACATTCATTTATCACACAATCATACAAAACATTATTTACACTAAACCAAATTAATTCGCCTCGAACAACGGGACCTGTCCCTCTTGTGGCTGCGCGTAGATCACGGGGGCCGTAGCCGAATCTACGCGTGCCTGTACAGGTCCCACAGCAGTGATGCAGGTTCAGCTCTGTTTGAGCATGTGCAAGAGGGGACTAACCGCGTGCTTGAGCAGTACCCATCTGCGGAGGTGGTGGTTCTTGGAGACTTTAACGCTCACCACCAAGANGTACCATCCGGCTATGGAATGAGCTCCCCTCCACGGTGTTTCCCGAGCGCTATGACATGTCCTTCTTCAAACGAGGCTTATGGAGAGTATTAAGCGGTAGGCAGCGGCTTGGCTCTGCCCCTGGCATTGCTGAAGTCCATGGGCGACGGTAACCACTCACCATCAGGTGGGCCGTATGCCCGTCTGCCTACAAAGGCAACAAAAAAAAAAAAAAAAAAAATCACAAGCAAATTCAGGCGATAACCGTAGTATAGCGGCGGCGATAATATTTCGCGAGTACATCGGTGCATAGACGAACCGGTCGTCGCATTTTTATCGATCCACCGCCACCAGTCGAAATCTGACTTGTGAGCGCGCATCCCGTGTTATTCTTTCTGTACTACGCCTTTTAATTATTGCTTTTTGTTTCGTGTACCTGCTTGTGTTGCTTGGACTCTCTATTTCTTGTTTACTTTCTCCTTCTTTCTATATTTTGTGTTCGTCTTAAATAAAAACTTTATGTCCGTTTGTGTTTGCAAAGACTTTATAATACCAACCCAAGACGACTAAACGTATTAAAGTAGATGTTACATAGGCCACAACCTCTACGGACTCCAACACCAATGCAATAACTAAATAATTCGCTGCATTTCGTAAACTGCACCATAATGCAATCCGCACAAGCCATAAAAATATCCATTTCGTCGAGACCTCTAAAATTGCAACGCAGCTTCGTTTTTTAGAACATACAAGGGAAAGTGGGGCGTGCGGGAGTTCTTAATACACTGGTGATTCACGATTCAATGCGATAGAATTATTTTCGTTTATTTACAAAATTCATTGAATTAGTTTAATGTAAAATAAGTTATATCACTTAAAACTTAAGGTTCAGATTTATCTTTACTGTGTTTTGGTGTAAAGATAAAAAGGAACATTAAACATTGAAATCTTTTGAATTTTTGACAGCTAATGAAGCTTGG